ATTGCGAGCTATTGGCATGCGCAATGAATGATATTATGTATGAAGTATTGAACAAATAATCTGTACATGTAACACTTTAAAAATATATAAATTGTAATCCCAAGATCTGCTGCTTATTTGTATTACTCCTTTTTTCCCTATTTTCTCGATACACCACAAACAGTCTTAAAATTCTATTCGGTCTTTTTGCGGAGCGCAGCGAGTGGTGGAACATGCAAAATCTTGTCGCGGGGACACAGTGTACGTGTTCATTAGTAATAAGAATATCATGTGTCGCATTCTAGTTCTTGCGCATCTAATTGTCGAATGCTTACGTTTGCAGAATATTAGAGTTTGCAGCCGTGATTAAAAAATCACGCTGCGAAATGCGCGGGGCGGCGCGGGCGGCGCGGGCGGCGAGGACGGCGCAAAAACCGGCCGCGAAAACCGCCGCAAAAATCCGCCGCGGAAACCGCCGCGAAAACCGCCGCGAAAACCCCCGCAGATCGGTAAAATGATCTATCGAAAGCAGATAGAGAAAATTATATCGGTAATTACCGATCATCAATATTATGTAAAGATGACAGTAAAAATTATGTAAAGAATATATATGTTGGTAAAAAAATTAAATGTTGGTATATAATATCGGTAATAAATTAACGATCGTTGGTATTATTGGTAATTATATGTTGGTAAAAATTATATGTTGGTAAAAATTATGTTGGTAAAAATTATATGTTGGTAAAAAAATTAAATGTTATATAATATCGGTAAAAATTACCGACCGCCGGTAACATCGGTATGCCCCCCCCATTACCGACTGCTGATAACCCCCTCCCCCACGGTGACGTCATACCCCCCCAGTGACGTCATACCCCCCTCGCCCGCGGTACCCCTCGCCCCTCACCTCCCCTCGGAGGACCTGAGTTAGAACCCGCTTACTATACCTACTAAATCATTTTATTAAAATTGGTGATTTTAGTTTGTCAGATCTCAATTACAGTATGCAAATGTTTCATTATGGTCCTGGTGTACAAAACAAACCGCCTTATATTGCCAACGATTTTGCAACAAAAAGTAAACTGAAAATGACAGCTTCGGAAATGTTAATTTTTTGTCGACTTTTCGGTGTAATTGTTGGACATCGTGTGAAATCATATAATGACCCATTCTGGAAATTGTATTTGTTGTTAAAAGAAATTATTGAGGTTTTGCAAAGTAGATTAGTGTCAGAGGATTCTGCTTCAGCATTTAAAATATTAGTTTCAGAACATTATAACCAGTATATGAAATGTACGAACGAACGTTTAAAACCAAAACATCATAATCTCATTCACTATACACGTGTCATGATGCAATCTGGACCACTTATATTATTATTTGTGATGAGACTGGAAGGGTTTCATAAAGTTCTTAAAAATATTGCTAATGTTATAATGTCGAGAAAAAATATTATTCTTTCCATTGCTACTCGACATCAGCTTTCACTTTGTTATAAATTTATGGCTCAGGAAAGTATTATTCCAACTGTTGAAGTAGGATCAGGAAATATTAATATTACAAAAACGAACACTTTAATCTTTTTGCACCATTTTTGCCAAATAATATACTTTGTAATCCATATTCTTTTATTGTCAACTGGATTAATTATAAAGACACTCTGTACCAACCCACAATGGTATTGGTTTGTAGAACGGACAAAAGTTCCTGTCCTATATTTGCAGAAATTCAACATATTATTCTTCATCAAGATAGTCTATTTTTTATTTGTTCCTCTCTTTTAAATATAGGTCTTAATTGTAACATTGGTGGTTTTGAAGTAGAACGAAGTACAGAGTGGTTTTTTATTAAACATGAAAACTTACTAGATCCTTTTCCTTTATTTGTTTATACTATGGCAACTGGTGAACAATATGTTATTTTACATCATCTTGTGTGATCTCATAATTTACATCTGACCTCATACTTTTCTGAATCTGTTTCTATTTTTATAACAATACTGTTATAATACTATGTGTATATTTTATGTTAAGGTATATTTTACGTTAGAAAGAAAAAAGAATATATTTAATAATTTACATAAAATATATATATAAAAATAATATAAATACATATATTTTTGCATATATGTGTTCTTTTACTTTCCCTTGTACATTTTTTCAGTCTCCATAAATTATAATAGATCTATGTAGCAAGTAATATATTATAAATCAATTATAGCTACCATTGATACCATTTTAGCTGCAGAGCATATCTCATATCTACAACATCATTTAGCTATATGCGTACTCCTATGTGTGTATTTGTCTCAGCTTAGTAAAACTATTAGCTATAACACCTAAACTTATATATTTGACAACTAAGTAATATGCGCACCACAACTAATTATAGCAATACATACTGCAATAGCTATTCTTTGTAGTATGTACCGTACCAAAATCTTTGTCTGCTACAGTTACAAGCTTTGCAGCTAGTAGAAATAGGTCTCACAGCAACAGTCTTAGCTATTCATATAATACAACTGAAATTTAGTTACCAGACCTAATTTTTAGCTGTGGAAGCTAATTTTTTTTTCCGTGTATTGAAATCAATCATAAGGTAGGATTTGTAACATTAAATATTGAAATACTTGAGTACTAAAAGCTGTATTTGAATCACAGAATATTACTAAATACTGTACTTTTAATACTGAAAATAAGTAATTAATCAATGATTCTTAGCATGATATTTCTATAAGGGTGTCTGCATCTTACTACTTTGATAAATTGATTAATTATGATAAATTGATTAGTTATGATCGGAAATGACCACGAGTAATTCGATTATTGACGCGTATTCGTCCGAAACACGTCTATGTTTACAAGCGCGTGTAACATCCTTTGATGGTTCAATAGAATACTGACAATCGAATGATTGCTAGAACACACATTGCAAAGAAACATTACACGTTCGCATCCGCCTTCGGTTCGTCGGCATATTATATAATGTTGCTTAGGATTTGTTTTGTTATTATTACGTATGTATATACGTGTAATTTTAATGTACATATAGTTTATCGCGTTTATGGAAGATTTAATCAGTAAGCTATTTAATTTTCTGACCGCGTTATTTTTTTACATAAATACTACATAAATACTATTAACGAAACGCAAAAGTAAAGTAATAAGAGTGTCGTAAGAAAGTAAATGGAAAATTTGAGAAAATAAAATTGGGTGGAGATATTTTAAGAGAAAATGTTGTAATAGATAAAATGTAGTGCTGGTTTAAGAAAGATCGCGACAAAGAAAAGAGAGAAAGAAGTTCGTGGAAAGGTTTACTGCAAATGGACATAGACATAACGAACAAATAGAAAAATATTGTTAAAAAATAAATTTGAGAAAAATTTAAGCTACATATAGAAATAAAGAAGAAAGAGAAACCGGCATATTTTTTAATAGATTACAATGGAAGAAAATACTTTACGTAATTTTTACTTACTTATGTAGATTGTTCTCATCAACAATTATTCCTTCAAACAATTCGTTGTCCGGAATATTCTTAATATCTATATATTCTATGTTAAACTTGTTTTCCTTTGGACGATGGCTGTCACTGAAAAAACAATTTAGAAAAATTTCAAATTATATAAATAAGTAAATAAGAAAGAAAGAAAGACTGGTATATATTTTAGTAGTTTATAACGGAATATTTCGATTATATCTTACATACACCCCTTATAGAAATATCATACTAAGAATCATTGATAATTACTTATTATCCAGCATTTTTAATATTGAAAATAAGTAATTATCAATGATTCTTAGTATAATATTTCTATAAGGGACGGAGAAAAATAATTTTGCTCTTTTAACAAAATCGTCGTTGCTACTGCATATTTGTACTGACATCAAAAAAATTTAGTTAACGTAACTAATTTTATAAATTATTCGTTATCAGAGCAAAAGTAGTTTCGTTGCCAGGATAGATAAAATTTGTTGATATTTATCTTAAGAATCACGTTAATTTGCTATTGATGCAAAATAATGTATATTTAGCAAATTTATTTGTTATCGGAACAAAACTTTAATTGTTTATATAAAGCCATCATGGTTCTTACAGCAAAATAATTTATAGATTCAGAAAATAATATCCACCAAATAGTAATTAATACTCTTAGCAAATCTTTTTACTGTCCATATAATAACGAAAAGATTTTGGTAGACTACTAAAAGATTTGCCCGGTCAGCAAATTATTTTTCTCCGTGTACGTACAAAAATATAACTTTCACTTACATGGATACGTTTTGGCTGGGTATTTGCGAAGTCTTAGTAGCCTGGCCATTCTCTGCATTCATAGGCTCCATCTCCAATACACTGTTATTTTGAAAACAAATTTCAATGAAAAAATAATTTGGGAAAAATTTAAGTTATATAAAGAAATAAAGAAAAAAAAGACTGGCTTATTTTTTAATAGTTTACAATGGAAAGAAATACTCCAATTGCATTTGATATATGTAAAAAAATATAATTTTCACTCATCTAAGTATATCTTGGCTAGAAGCCTCAATAGTCTCGTCATTCTTTATATGCACAAACTCTATCTCAAATAAATTTCTATTTTAAAAACGAATTTCAATTAAAAAATAATTTGGGAAAATTTGGATATAAAGAATATAAAGAAATGAAGAAAAAAGAAAGACTTCTTCTAGCTTATTTTTTAATAGTTTACATTAGAAGGGAATATTCCGATTACATCTTACATATGTAAAAAATTATAATTTATTTGTATACGTTTTGTGTAACCACAAAATTCATTTCATATTGGCCCATAAACTCTATGCTATGATCTATGTTCGTGTACCATGCACTGTCCTTCGTATCCCGGGGGAGACCTCGAACATCTGGCCAGGGCCATAGACATAGCGAAAGTGCAGGCCCGTCAACGCCTCCTCCTAAGGTGGAGCATCCACCTGGAGGAGGCGACGGGCCATTCGGGAACGAAGGTCGCCGAGGCCATCCGGCCCTGTCTGCAAGAATGGGTAGACAGGGTCCGCGGAGAGCTGTCCTTCCGGACGACGCAGGTACTCACCGGACATGGATGCTTCGGTGAGTACCTGCACAGGATTGGTAGGGAGCCTGACTCCCGCTGCCACCACTGTGGCGCTGAGGTGGACTCGGCGCAACACACCCTGGAGGAATGCCCCTCCTGGGATGTGGAGCGCCGAGTCCTGATTGACGTGGTGGGAGCGGACCTCTCTCCCCCGGCCCTCATAAGGGCCATGCTTGGGGGAGACAAGGGCTGATCTGCCGTCACCTCCTTCTGTGACGCAGTCGTGTCACAGAAGGAGGAGTCGGAAAGGGTGCGACGGGGCGAAACCGCCGCCCCCGGGGATGGGGCGAGGCGCCTCGCCTGCCCGCGCATCAGCGCGGGGTCGAGGGACGGCGCACTCGCGGGCGGGGAGGGGACGCCACCGCTGGCGTTCCCACCCCCGGGGTACCCGCGCGTGCGCTGCCACCCCCTACAATGCCGCCGGGCCCTCTTGATCAACGGAGGGCCCGGCGAGGGGGAGACAGGAGGCGCCTGGTCGGGAGGGGGAGACGCGTCGCAAGGCGCTACCCCCCCCCGTGACAAGAAGTCAAACCAGGCGCCTCCGGGAGGGGGGCAGGGCGGCCGGTTCGCAAGGGCGGACTCTCAGGCCGCCCACCCCCCTCCCAGTGCCAGGAGGCTCCTGACCGAGAGGGGCGGAGGGGAACACTTAGACCCCTTCGCCCCATCAACTTCGCTCGGGAGCGTAGGGGCGGGCCGGGTCCGGACGGGACCTGACCCGGCCAAAACGCCCCTACAGGTGAGGTGTGACCGGACAGGGGGCCCACGTCCGGTCATGGAGGATAGGAACAGCGGGCCGGGAGGGAACTATTATTCCTCCCGGCCCGGGAAGGGGGCGGCGTTATGGTTTCCCCCGCCCCGCGGCCGAGGGCGTCCCGGAAGTAATGCGCAAGCGGTTCCCGGGACGCCCTCCCAACAGCCGCAAGGGGCTCGGCAGAGGTTTTAGTGGGTAGGCCCCCTCCGGCCGTTAGCTCCGGAGGGGGAGAGTCCCACACTACCCCTGGGAAAGTCCCGATTTCCTGGGGGTGTGCGTAATGCATTTCCTCTGCCTCAAAAAAAAAAAAAAAAATGTCCTTCGTATCCATAAACTCCATTCCAAAGGACTGACTGTTATTTTGAGAACGGATTTCATTAAAAAAATAATTGGAGAAAAATTTGAGTTATATAAATAAATAAGGAAGAAATAAAGATCGACCTATTTTTCAGCAATCAACAATGAAATGAAATATATTATGATTACTTCTTATATATGTAAGAAAGTATAATTTTCATAATCTAAATACTTTTTGACTAGATGTTTGAGAAGTTTCAATAACCTCGATATTGTCTATATCTATAAATTCTACCTCAAATAGATTTCTATTTTGAAAACAGATCTCAATGAAAAAATAATTTGGAAAAAATTTGCGTTACATAAAGAAATAAGGAAGAACGAAAGACTGGCGTATTTTTCTGCAACTTACAACGGAGAAAAATATTTGGATTACATCTTATACAGGGTGGTTATCTTTCCCTCGCCCACTAAGTACATAGCGTTATTCCTTATGGAAAATTAAATCAGAAAGTTTTTCTACTATGCTTAATGAAGCAGTTATGTTTAAATAAATTTCAGCTAATCAGCGCCGTCTTTTAGACGGGCGCATGTCCGTGAGCCGCGCGCCTGACAGCGGCGGAATAGCAGCGAAGCGCTCATGCAAACTGTCAGATGCCCGGCTCATAGTCTAAAGGACGGCGCTGATTAGCTGAAATTAAGACTTTATTTAAGGCCAAAAAGGCTTTATTTAAGAATAACAGATTTATTAAACATTGTAGAAGAAAATGGCTTAGGACTTTCTGATTTAATTTTTTACAAGGAATAACACTATGTACTTGGTGAAGGAAAAATAACATCCTTTATATGAATCTAAAAAAACATAATTTTCACTTATTCTCTGAGACATGCTTTACCTCATATCTTGGACGGACTCTTGTTCTTAAACTCGAATAAAGATCTTCTTGCAAAATTCCTTCCTGCTAAAGACTTCAGCGCCTACAACATTTAGAAAACAAACGATTTTATGACTTTTGCAATAAATAACACTAATTTTTACAATCGTCTTCAGAGACAAATGGTAGACTGGATCAAAGTGATAACGAGAACATACACTTTATCTCGATGTTTTATATGATGTAAGTTTTTGATCGTTAAGGATCCATTGGTTAAGAGCATTATGATAATATAGTTATTACGATATTGTCGCTGTATACGAACGTGTGTAATTATAAAAAATGATTCAATGTCGACAGTCAGACGAGTAAGTAGTAATAAGTAATAATAAT